ATTTAAATGTTGCATCGGATACATACGAAAGCATAATTTATGTATGTACCAACGCGGTCACCGATACCTCGATAGTGAACGCCACATTCGTAATCGAGCGAAACGATATGTTAAAGACGCAACGTGAATAGTTCGTTCTCTCGCATTCTTTTCCTTTTTTTCTGTGTCAAGAGTATAGTTACTAAAGAGAAATTTTTAAGAAATTAAGAGAGAAGTTGGGAGATTCGTTCGCGCCGGCGGCGCAAAGCTTTCCTAGAGACTTTAACGCTCGTTGCCGAGCTTTAAATAATGCATGAGCAACCAGTCAAAAAATAAGCGGCCAAGAGAGCCGGAAGGGAGTTCTTTCCTTTCTCCCGTCGGTCGGCACGCCGGAAATGAGAAGGTAGACAAGCAGACGCCATTCATTTCTGATTCAGGCGGAGCATTCGCCGAGATATAAGGCAGGCCAGCTCGATGTACGTAGGATGTAATCGCGCGTAATGTCATAAATGGAGCTCTCGATTCACGCTGTTTTCACGAAGAGTGAATATTAATTAAAAATAAATTGTGATATTTAAATATATTTCTGATAATATAGTTGAATTAGACTGTAACTCGGTACAACAAAATTAAACTCTGTTACACATTGCTATGTTAGGACATCGGGGATACTCGGCGGTGAGTCAGAAGGGTCTTGGTCATTTTCACGTAGGATTGCCTATTAGTGTTTAATCGGTGCTTGATTAAAAATTACAGTTTAAAGCTGCCCCGCGGGAGTTTTCGACCCGACTCGACTGACCAAACCGTAACTGAGTTTCGTACACGTCCTCAGGCTATGCTAGCTAAATTTCTCGAGCAGATAATCACGAGGGAGGTGCGTACTTCTACATTCTTGAAGTATGAGAAAGTCAGTCTTGCAACCTTCTAATTTCAATTCGTTTTGGCTAAAAGTTTTCATAACGATAACGTATTCAAGCCATATTGATTATAAAATCATTGTACGTTAATCATATTTTAAATTTTATGATATAAATAAGAAAATATATTAAAAAATTAGGTTGTCCTACACATATAACTAGCAAGTTAAAAGCATACCTTGATATATTTTCTAATTTTTAAGAATTTTGTTTGCAAAGTATGTACATTACATCGCTCTCTTAAAAATGTATAATTTCAAAAAATAAGTTTTTCAGAAAAATCTATTTTTTAATTTAATCAAATATAATCGGCGAAAAGAAAATACTCTTAGCAACTTGATTAAATGTCATTTTTGTTTTATTTTTATTTCACAATTAAAAAAAAACGACCTTTTTTGAGTTGTGACGATTTTGATTATACTCTCTACAAAATTATAACAAATCCATAATAATAATTTATTAAAAGTAACTTAACACGACGCATCACCAGCAGTTTATATTTATTTTGTGTTCATTTCTATCAAGTATGTAGATTAAGTTTAATCTCAGTTTAATTAATCTCTTCATCATTTTCTAATTCTTAGAACTAGAAAAAGATGAGTTGAACTAAAATTAATCTATGTACATTGGTAGAAACGAGCACATCAGTTAAAATGATTAAATTTCAAATAAAACAATTTTTTTGAGCATCAAAATTATCTTAACACTACATATTTTCTGTAGAAGTATCTCCTTTTTATTTACAAAAAAGCGACTCAAAATGTGACACTCTTGTAAAAAGTATTATAATCTCTTTGAAAACCTTAAGTGTTATTTGAACACAGAAATTAAGTTAATTCATTATTAATGATTGATAGAATAATGTTTATACGCCTAATTCATGTAACTTACAAATCATTCTTTTTTAATTGCGCGCATTTTTTAATTAAGATACTGATATCTTATTATATTATGGTTTTTAACCTTGTGATAGCAGTTGATAGATTCTATATATATGTAAAATACTTGCAGGAACAGAGGAAATTTAGATTATTAAAGATGACGTTTTTCTCCCTGAAAAGTTCGCGTGACGTGCACGTCAAGAGATGCATCTGGCCGGATTACATTGTTCATTTTCTCACACGCGCGCCCATACGATTAATTGTCGGCGAAACTCCGAACCGTGGGCGCGTAGCTGGCGAGTATTTAGCATAAAATGTAAAATAAGCCGCGGCTCGGGCATAAATTGTATTCCCATTAGGAGGGTAGCGGGGACGCGGGTCGGGTGCATTTGAATACGAGCGGATTAAAAATTAAATATTACCGCGGAAAGGGCCGGCGATTAGAGCGCGCACGGCAGGAATGAAAAACCGTCCGTACTCGAAGGGCGGTGGAAAAGCAAAGGGAGGATGCTGGAACACCGAAAGTTGCGCAAAATAAAGCGGACGGCGCCGTGACTCTTTGCAAAAAAAAAAAAAAAAAAAACAGAGGAAAAAATTAAACGCTCTTTTAATAATTCGCAGCGGAGGCAGCGAGGCGTTGTCCCGATTCGACGGTGAATTTTTTGGCAGCTCGTCGACGCTTATTCTCGCAACAGAAACGACAAGGCCGTTATTTTTATGCGTCACATCAGCAGCATTTATAAACTATAACATTTGCTCTTAATTTAAGATATAACAGTGAGGCCAACTTTTTTCTACGAGTTAACATAAATCTTTCAGAATCGTCCAATGCGAATCCCTCGTCCCTTTCTTTTCCCGAAGCCCAACTAATAAATCCGCGAACGCAAATAATCACAGGCTGCAAATCGCCATACGCTTTCTCGCGGCCGTATGATATCGCCGCAACTGCCACGCCATAACCATTTTTCACAATTTCTGACGCGGCTGCGGCAATGCGAGCCCGGCAAGTGGCCGTATCTCGCGGAGCTCTCTTTCTTCCGCGGGACATTAAGGCCCGGAGCGGCGCGGGCGAAACGGTTAACTAAGACATCAGTCATAATACGCGAGACAACCGGATGCCGAGGCAGGCGGGGGAGGCGTAAAGGGTCCTCGTAACTTCTCGTTTGCCCAGCTTTTGTTTGTGATGGCCCCGCCAGTCGCGCGGGCGCGAGACGTATCTCTCCAGCGCCCGAAACTACCTTTACGTCTCGACGGGATCCGTACATCAAAGTTTATAGGATAAGAACGAAGCTACTGAAACGAGCGTGGAGATTGCGGCCGTTAAACGTGGCGAATTCCAGCAGCGGGACGCGGCTCGTGAATGCTCGCGGCCGTACACGAACGACGATAAATCACGAGACGATTGTGAAAGAGTAACGCAGGATGAAGTGCGCTTTACTTTAAGAAACTTATCGCATTTTATGTTAAACATGTGAAGGAAAATATGACGTTCAAGTCGAATTTTTACCACGTCGAAATCTCTGTTTTAATTACCAAAGAAATATATTATTGTATTTTGTCAGTTTGTTAATTCTTTTAATTGCATATCATTATCTTAGAAAGTCCAGATAATGCAAGAAAGAAATATTATATATAAGCACGTTAAGAATTGATATATTCAGCGTGCAAAAGTCTCCAGGTCGATTTTTCATGTTTTCTTTTAAAAATAAAAACTAGAGGATTTTTTACTAACCTATTATATTGTATTGTAAATAACGTTTATTTCTATATTATTTTTTTAATGGCATATCTTTATATACAATACTAGTAAAAATTCCTTTGATTTTTGAAAAGAAACGTGTAAAACACTTGGCTGAAAACTTTTGCTATTGTATATAAAGAATTGAAATAAATAGCGAAAAGAGTGATTTTGCTGAAGTAAAATTTAGCTGTATATAAATTTGAAAATAATTTTGTTGGACTATCAATAATTACGTATGTTCAAGCTGATTGCTGGAAAGAAAATACTTTTTGCAGCATTGCTCGTCATGCTTGAGTTTTCTATATAATTAATTTGATTTGAT